TTTTTTTTTTTTTTTTTAAACTCTGCTTTGGGATATTCCTCGTCTAACTCTTGAAATATGAAACCAGTATAAAAGTTATTGTTGGGTCTTCATGTCAAAAGGAGAGATTGTTCACCTGTGGACAGTTATTTAAATGCACCTTCTTGACTCCTCAGGGCGTTTCTGATCTCAGAGCTTACCATTGCATTTCAACACGGGTTTATTTATTTATTTTTTTACAAATTAATCATCACATCAATGTAATTTAAGAGCCCAACCTCTGGAGTCAGCCTTGATTTAAATCCTAGTTCTAGGATTCACATCCTGGCTCTAGGACTCATCTATGAAATGGAGATAATCAGGACCAACCTCTGAGGTAATGAGGCTAAAGCACTCTCTGACCCAGGCTCACACTGATTAAATAAGCTATCATCTTCACTTCCGTTTTTATTATTAATGTTATTACCACAAGAGAGGTGCCTACCCACATAAGAAAAAAACAGAAAAGATAAGGGGAGCAAATATGGTACTCATTTCCACCTAAAGCCTGATAGGCAATTGTGGTGCAGTCATTCTCTTTGAAAAGATTATATTTCATTGAATTCATCTCATGACTCTCAAAAATATGTTTATTCCAAAAATCAATTTATTCAGCAAGAAAATTTTGCATGTGTAAGGTACATATAATAGAGGGCCAGGTCATCTTGGTCATCTAGCCCGTGCAGGGAGAATACATAGTAAGCCACTCTCAGGGGCTGCCTTGCACCTGCCTTCCGGCAAAGTGCACCAAAAATACGCTCTTGAGAGGAAAAGCTCTTGGGTTCAGGCTGCTCCCATTCTTAGGCGGCGTTCTCACTTTCTCTTGAGTCCTTGAGTCCCTCTCTTGTATAAATGAAAGGCTGCAGGGTTTCGAAGGCCTTTTCTCACCCTAAAAGCATAACAAATACATACACGCACCAGCAGCAGGAGCATAACCCAGCAATTTGTTAGAATAGAGTTGCTGATGATCTACCTCAGCCAGATCTACTGAACCAGAAGCTCTGGAGGTGGGACCCAGCAACCAGTGGTTTAAAAAGCCCTCCAGGTGACTGATGAATGCTAATTTGAGAAACTGGTTCACACAGTACTTCTTCAAACATAGTCTACCACAAACCAGAAGGTGTGTTATCTCCGTGATTATTATGTTTCTTTGCTTTGGCACTGTGCTAAGCACTTTGTTATCTCATGTAATCCTTTCAACACCTCTGAGGTGTGGGGGAACCTTGTGCACTCAGCTTTAGCCACATGGGTATCCCTTTACTTCTTGAAAAGAGTTCAGCTTCTTCCCATGTCAGGTCCTTCTTTCTGGGTAATGCCCACTCATCCCTCAGGGCTCAGTATCCCCTGTCCCAGGAGGTCTTTTCTGACACTCCCTGGCTAGTGTAGCTCCTGCTAGTTAAATTTATTACAATGGAATTGATTATTTGTGTAGTTACCTATTTAATATTTGTGTCCAGTGTTAAGTTGTAAGCTACATGAGTCAGGGGCCCTACCTGTCTTACTCTCCAATGGTCACATAGAAAGTGCTCGATAAGTGTTTATTGAAGGAAAGAATGTTGAACAAATGAATCCCCTTTTTATATAAGAGGAAGCTGAGGCTCAAAAGTTACCTTCCTGAGGTCACACACTTAGAAAGCATTAGAGTCAGGACTGCAAACTTTTAGACTTTTAACCACTATACTCATTGACTTTCCAATTTTTGATGAAGAAAATATGTCCTGAAAGATAATATAACTTGATTAAAGTCATATAAATAGTAGATAAAATCAGGATTAAAATTCATGTCTTCTAACATTTATGTTCTCTGCCCCATCATGCTGCTTTATCTTACCCTGCAAGAACTTACAACCAGTGGGATCGGACAACGTAAACATATAGGACAAATTAAATTCATAGTAAATTAAATTAAGTGGGACATATCTGCAGAGCCTTGTTCATGCCTGGTACATAGTAGTTGTTCAATAAATGTGTACTGAGTGAATAATGATCATAGCTCCCATCTTTTGAATATTTACAACAAATCTCATTCTACTAAGCATTTACAACCATATGCAATATTTCTCAAATTAGGACCTTAAAGTCTGGGAACCTTGTTAAAATGCAGAAACCTGCATTTTAACCTAATGGATTGGAGTCATTGGGTGTGGGTCTTGAGAATCTCCCTAGGTGACTCTCATGCCCACTAAGGTTTGAGAAACACTCCATTATTACCATAACCATCCAAGTCAGACATTGGTAGCCCCTTGTGCACAAGAAGAAATGCTGCTCAAGTTGTAATGAAAGTTGCTGAACGTCTCACCACAAATAAGCATCAGAGATAGTAAGGATTTGAATCTAATTTTGACTCCAAAAGACTGCTCTTTTCACTGCCACTGGAAGGAAGGGGGGAAGGAGAGAGGAATGG